AACCTTCCCAGATCATCAGATCAAAACACACAGAGCAACAACATAGCAAACCCCAAAACTTGTGAATACCGTTTACAACACAACTGGGGGTATCCCAGGAGGTACCATACAAGGAAGCAAGCAGGAGCCCACCAGAACCCCTGGCACCTGCAAGAGAAGGAGGGACCCCAGGAACTGTCTGCCCTAGACAGTGAAAGCAACCTGGGAACAGCCCAGACACTAAGAAAATCACATAAAACAGGCCGGGTATGGTGGCTGTGCCTTAGTCCCAGCTACTCAGGAGGCCGAGGAAGAAGGGTCGCTAGAGACCAGGAGTTCAAGGCTGCAGTGAGCTGTGATTGCACCACTGCACATCAGCCTGGGCAACAGAGCAAGACCCTGTCTTGAAAAAAAAATTACATAAAACGAGAAATAACAATGTAACAGAATTAGAAAAACTTAGAAATAAAATAATAGAACTCAGGAAAAAACTAGAAATGATAGCTTATTTCAGAAGTGAATAATAAAATAGAACAAAAATGAATACACATGACAAATGATGTATTAATATTAAGAAAAATAAAAGAAAAAGAGGAGGGAACCTCAAAAACAAATGAAGTGGCAAATATTAAAGACAGGAAAAGAAGATACAAAAAAACAGCATTATTTTACAATAGAGGAAAACAGAATAATGTGCTTAAGAAATGCCAGAAAAATAAATATATTTAATAAGCCAACAGTTTTATATCCAGCAAAACTGGCCTTCAAATGTAAAAACACAGAAAAGCTGGCATCAACATGTAATAACTCAAGGAAAGTTTGTCTCCATGAGCCTCTTTTGAAGAAACTGTTTTTGAAAAAACAGCCTCTTTTGAATTAACTTCAGGAAACATAATGACTAGACAGGTTGTAACATGAGAACCAGTGGTTATAAGTAAACATAATTACTCAGAATTACTGAATAATTTAATTATGTTATAAGTAAACATAATTACTCAAAATAATGGTAAGAAGTAGACAAATACAGTATTTGATGGATACATGTTATGACAACACAAATACAGCACATACATCACTCAAAAATACAGGCAGGCCGGGCGCGGTGGCTCACGCCTGTAATCCTAGCTCTCTGGGAGGCCGAGGCGGGCGGATTGCTCGAGGTCAGGAGTTCGAAACCAGCCTGAGCAAGAGCGAGACCCCGTCTCTACTATAAATAGAAAGAAATTAATTGGCCAACTAATATATATACAAAAAATTAGCCGGGCATGGTGGCGAATGCCTGTAGTCCCAGTTACTTGGGAGGCTGAGGCAGGAGGATTGCTTGAGCCCAGGAGTTTGAGGTTGCTGTGAGCTAGGCTGATGCCACGGCACTCACTCTAGCCTGGGCAACAAAGCGAGACTCTGTCTCAAAAAAAAAAAAAAAAAAAATACAGGCGATGTGAGAGAAGGTGAAAAAGGTATTGGCTGGTTTTCAGTGGTCACATTGGTAACTGTTCATTCTGTTGTTTTCAGAGTATTGAACATACACTGTGGGATAGAGTAAATGCATAATCATGGACAATTCTAACTATTTATTCCCTGTGCTCTTGAACACCAGGATTTAAAAAAGACACAAGTGTAAGATAAAACAGGTGTGGTAAAAATCCCAAACTCATGGATCTGAATCTAAGTGTCAGCATGAAATCACAAAAGAGTCTTCAAAATCCCTGCAAATTCCCTGCTCTGTCTCTCATGAAGTTCTAGGATGGCTCAGCTGCAGCGATACATGTCCCAAGTAACCAGACTACGTTGTTAAAACGCCATTTTCACAGATAAGCAGGGATCTCAGACACAATAACCCCAAGTCAGGGACAGAGGACAGGCAGCACGGAATCTATCAACGGCCACAGAGCGCTCAGGACTCAGACTTCCCGCAAAGCAGCCCCCGCTGTCTGGAGGTGCCGGTGTCTGTGCATCATGTGAACAGTAATCATAGTGCACTGAAACACATCATGTGTATTCAGTCCATGAGTTTACAATGATATCCTCAAAATGAATTAGTCATCCTTGAAGGGTGATGGAAACTAATTAATTTTGGGGTAACTTTTAAATAAAGGCCAAAAATAAAGCCTTTATCTTGCCTTTCCTATATGAACTGTTCCATTTTACAATGAAACAGATGCAGGGCTGTCTCTTTATAGAAATGATTCCAATTTTAAAATGATAACTAAAAGGTAAAACTAGCACATGACTCTTCTTCAGCCCCCAGTGAATTAATGGGGCCAGACACTAAACAGCAACACTTTTGGAGCAAAGGGGCAGCCACAGTCGCTAGGGGTCCCTCATAATTCATCAGACCACACTCTTAAGTGTTTATCTTCTGTGTCTTTCATTTTGCCTATATCATCCTTTTGAAAATATGGTTCTGACAATGACTTAATATTTTTCATCAGTGAACCTCAAAGCTTTATTAATATAAAACCACACACATTTAAAACCACATAACCCAGGAGGAATAAGCTAGGATTAAGTTGGAGAACAGACTGCAAGGTGATGTCTAACTATGGTTACCACACTGCAGTTAGACCTCAGAACTTATTCACCTTATGACTGGACCTTTGTGGTTGTGGCCCAAACCTTCCTGTCCAGCCCCAGCACCTGGAAACCTCCGCTCTACTCTCTGCTTCCACAAGATTGACTTTTCAGATTCTGCAGAGAAGCGAGAACACACAACATTGGTCTTTCTGTGCCTGGCTTATTTTACATAGCATAATATCCTCCAGGTTCACCCATGTCATCTCAAATGACAGAATTTCCTTCTTTTTGTAAGCCTCAATATATATTTGCACATTTTCTTTATTCATGTGTTGATGGACACTTGAGTCGAGTCCATGTCTTGGTTATTGTGGGTAATCCTGCAATGCTCACAAGTGCACACACACTGATTCCATTCCCTCTGGGTATGTGCTCAGAAGCTGGATTGCTGGATTATATGGTAGTTCTGTTTTTAATTTGGCAGGGAACTTCCATACTGTTCTTGTAGTGGCTGTGCTAGGTTATGTTCCCACTGACAGAGCACCAGAGTTCCCTTCTCTCCACATCCTCCCAGCACTTGTTATCCTCTGCTTTTTAACAGGAGCCATCCCAGCAGGTGTGAGGGAGTGACTCGCTGTGGTTGAGTGTAAGCTTCTTTGATTTAACAAAATGACATGTAAACTCACTGCCGAGCATTTCCGAGCACCTGAGCTCTGTGATGAACCTCCCCTCCTGGATGGACAAACAGCAGCACCTCAGCGTTTACGACGCAGTTTTTAATAACTACAGACAGGCTCTTGGACCTGGGAAACCACAGTGGAAGGTCTCACAGTCCTCCTGTAATTAGAGGTGTTTATTCCACCTGCTGCCAACTGCAACCTGCACAAGACTCTTTCCTCTTCATTAAAGAAAGTTTTCATTGCTTGTTCTTTTCAAGTCTTAAGTGATCCCTGCTTGCAATAAAAGTTTAATTGCCATAACACGACAATATTGTAGGGAAACAACAACAGCAGAAGACCAGGAAGAGCCCAGGCTTTCTCCATCCTCTCTGGGCGCCTACCCTAGCTGGAGCCAAACACACGTGTCTGTGAGTGATTTCTTTCACTTCAGGCTGATCAAACACTGCATGTTATAGATGACGTGAAATTCCCAAAGACTGAAAGTCATGACTGTGCAGCCGTGGTTCACAGCCTGCCTGTGCTCTAGGATTCGGGGGGTAGGGGCGGAGTGTTAAACCAATCCTGACACCCAGACCACACCCAAGGGAATCAGAACTTGTGCAAGTGGAAAATCTGCAATACTAAACCTCACCACGAGGTTTCTAAATTCAGTGAGGATTAAGGATGCCTACACTGAAAGAGAAAAGGATTCTGACCCCTTCTCATTTTTAAAAAATTAACACCTGAATAAAATATTAGCCATAAATAACAGCAAACTTTACTTAGTGGGACATTTTTAGGGTGCCTGAAATTTTGGTTTGGGATGGGGGAAAGGGAAGGATGGGAGTGAGGTGGGAGGGGAGGAACGAGGTTGGGGAAGAGACAGGAATGTGGTACCAGGAACACAACTTAAGTTTTACCAAAAGCACATGTGGGACATGGTCAGGAGTTTGCATACATTTGCACCATCGTCCACACTAGAGGAACTCACTCAGCATTTGTTCAGTGTTATGTACATTGAACGTATATTTACACACTGAGTCTCTGCATCTCTTCAGGCAGCACAGCCCGGACGCCAGTGACAGGCACGAAAGACTTGGCGCCACCTCAGGCCAAGCAGTCGGATAAAACCGAACCACACAGCTCTAGCTGCTGAGGCGGGAACGGCGGCAAATACACTGTAGAAAGTTTCTGAAAAGGAAAACTTAGAAAGTGGGCGCAGGGGCTCAGCCTGCCGCCCCGAACCCCCAGAGGCTGAGGAGGGAGGATGGCAGAGCCCGGGAGCCGGAGGCTGCGGCGAGCCGTGACCGGCGACGGGGGGGGGGGAGGCTGTTTCAAAAATACCTATGTATATTTTTACATGACATTCTGTAGCATTCCCGCCGAAAGTGAGGGCACGGTCGCGGTCAGAACCGCTGTCGGGTGCGTTCGATGAGCTGTATTCGCTACGCGTCAGACGCGCGGGAAATGCAGGCACGAACTGGCAACTAAACCCACCTTGGTTCGGGAGCCGCAGGCATAGCGGTCTCCTCAGAACCAGCCTCGAAACCACCTCCCGACACTGTGGGTCTCGGCGCGGAGGAGCTCTCACCTGGCGGGAACCGCGCGGGTCTCACCTGGCGGGGCAGCATCACCCGCCCGCCTCGCTGAGGAGATGCCCGCTGAGGTGACGTGTGAGGATCGGAGTCGCTGCCTGAGCCGGGGGCTCCAGCCCGGAGTGCGCGAGTCTGACCACTGCCTGATCCAGCCGAGCAGGAGGACGGCGCCGCCTCCTGCCTCAGTGCCTGGAGACTGTCAGGGCAGGAGGTTCCACCACAGACAACCGGCTGCGCGCGTGCACGGGTGGCGTATGCGCGTGCGCCTGTGAGCGGGTGCGCGTGCACACTGGGGGAGCGCGGGAAGGGACAGGCAGACCGTTCAGAAGCAGAGAAAGGAATAGAAAGAAACAGGGAGGAGGATGAGCACCAATGTGACGTGACGTTCGGGGAAAAGTATGAGAGACACTGAGCTCTGTGGCGCCGTCCTTAAGTAGCCGTGAAGGTATGTGCGTGTGAAAGGCCCTGTCTCCATAGCCACACGGCTCTGGGTGGTCAAAGGACAGAGCGATGGGGGCGGAGATGCTGTTCTGTCAGCCCAGCGAGTTCACCGTCACCAAACCGGAGCCTGGTCACCGCACGCCACGACCTTGGACAGGCCTCAGCCCCGCAAGACCCCTGAGGACCCTCCGGGAGACCCTCCTTCCGACCCCGTCCACGCCAGGTGTGGCTGTCCCCACCGGCGCGATGCTGGCTGGCATCATCTCACTCGTACTTCTCAAATCGCTTCCACGCTGTTTCATTCTTCATCATCTTAGGTCTCGGGCAGTGCCACGCATTGATGCTAACGTCGTTTCTACAATTATTTGTCTTCACAGAATTTCTCGGACGCCACAGATAACTGGATTCCTATGGCCTCACCCACGCTGGCCACAAACGGCTTCCCAGGGATCATGACACATCACCATCGTTTCAGACCCCACCCCCACTCCCAGCTTCTGACCACAACCTGAACGAGGACAATTTTAAACTCTCTGAGGGAACTAAGTAAGAGACAATATCCTCATTTCCAGGAAACCCTTTTCCACATCTGCCCTAAACTTGTGCAGCTGTCTCACTCTGCGCAGCAGGCCCAGCCTCCAGGATGCAGAGCTAGACACGCAGCCACCTGCTGTGCAGCGCTGCTTTGGTCACCTCTGAGAAACTACCAGCCAGCCGGCCTGGGACATTTGTCTCACAGCAAGTACCCCTCACACAAACTGGAGCAGGACCTTCTTGCTCTTCATCCACCTGTGCTGGTAGCTGCGGCAGGAGTGGGAAAACTTGCTCTGTAAAAGTCCCAACAGTAAATATTTCAGGCTTCGAAGGTCTCTTCCGAGACTACTCGATTTGCTGTTGTCCCGAGAGAGCACCCACAAGCCACCCGTGAACCTGCAAGGACAATGTTTTCCGCTGAAACTTAATTTCACACAAAAGCAGCTGCTAGATCCGTCCACAAGCCAGGGTGCCACCCCAGCTGCAAGAACATCTTCTGCCTGGCAAAGCTGCCTCTTGTGTCACTGCGATTCTCAAGAGGCAAATGGGAAAATGGTAAGTTAGCTGGGCAGTAAAAGTGCTAAGGAGATAAACCAAGCCAGGAAGGCGGCTCTGATAGGTTAGGAACAGTGGCTGGTATCTGGATAGGCCAGGAAAGGCTCACAGAAAAGGTGTCTTCTGCGCCACCCATCACCATGGAAACAACAGTGGGACCAGCCGGGGCAGGGGGAGAAGGCCTCCCAGGATCACTGTGCCAAGGCCTGGTGAGCATCTGAAAGTCACCCTGGGAATTAAAAGGGGCAGGGAAGAGTAGTGAGGGGCTGGGACCAGGTGACGCTGGGCAGGTCTCAGCAAGCCACAGCCTTCATTGTGGATGCTAAGGGATATCGTTGGGGAAGAGGCACCAACTGACCTGGCAGTTGCAGGAGACCACGAGGAAGCCGTGATGGTGCTGTGGCCCCCAGAATGGGGGCCAGGAGAGGTGGTATGGACGAGGTGACGGGGAAGGTTGGAGTGTACACCTGTGCAGGGGGAGGCCAGGGTGCCCCTGAGTGGACGTAAAAGGAAAAGCAGCAGCAAGACAGACACCAGGCATGAGCCGTGGGACAGTGGGGTTCCTGAGATGGTGACAGCTGCTCTATGTCCCCAAATACATGGGTTGAAACCCTGGGCCCGCTCGTGTTTGGAGATGGGGCCTTTAAGAAGGTGACTAAAGTTAAGTGAGGGAACCTGACCCGATAGCATGGGGCCCTTATTAGAAGACTGTACACTTAACAACATCTGCTTTTTAGATTTTCAGTGAAGTTCCTGGTTTGACAGAGAATACATAATTGGCAATTTTATTTATTTAAGTTAGTGCTGTTGAGTATATTTCTTCCCTTTTTCTCATCTTTTTTGGTGAGTGAATTGGATCTTTTCCCCATTTCAATATTATTTGGATGTTTTATTGTTTTGAAATCAAAACAACAAGGTATTAACCCTTTTTCATATATTTACAGTTCACATATTTTTATTTCTCAGACTAACCTTTGAGCTTCACCTTTATCATTTTGTTTATATGTAAGAAGTTAATTTTCACTCAGTCATATCTATGAGTCTGTTCCCATATGATTCCTGACTTTGGTGCCATACTTTAAAAGCCTTCCTTTTCAAAAAAAATACATATAAACATTTAGCGATCATGTTTTTCTTTTATTTTTCACATTTGTAGCTGAGTCCTCCTGGGTTTGTTTTAGACTCTCTACAAAGTCAATGTTCTGTCACTTCTGCCATTCACTGGTTACCAACCACTGTAATATCAATTACTGAGAAATGACACTATTTCTAATAGCAGACATTTTCTAATAGCAGATTATCTTTGTATTTGGGAAAAATGCTAATTGGGGCCATGGTAGTCTCTTCTATACCTCCTCCTTTCCACTGATTTTTTTTTTGTTATAAACACTTATGTGAAAGTGTTTTTTCCACATTCTTTTTCTTTTCAAAGTGCCTGTGGAGTAGGCACTGCTGTGTTTGTTTGAAAACGTCAGCTGTGGTACCTGCAAAGCCTCTGGTGACCCTGCAGGAAGAAGTGCTTGGCTCTGGGTAGGAGCTGAGCAGCAGAGTGACCTTGTGGGCCAGTTAGGATGGAGGAGCGGGCAGGGTGGTGGCCAGGAGATGTGGCTCTGCCTTCAGATGGGGCAGAGGGAGCACAGGTGGGTGGTGGAGAAAGGATGTCATGAAGACCAAATACTATAACTACACTAGCTCCCCCCAGTTTTTCTTTGCTGTGTCATGTATATATTTATACATGAAAATTAAACCAACATGTAACCTAGTTCCGACATGGAGTGCCGGCTGCACCAACTTCTACCACTTGGTATACAGGCTGCAGCTACAGCATCTGGGGTCGAGGAGAGCAGAGAGGAGGGACAGATGGGGTCCCCAGAGCCTCAGGGGAGCACAGGAATGACTGGGCCTGTGGATGCCCCTCCTGGATGAAGTCGTGTGTATTCATTTCACAGGGGACAGCTGTGTCTCACAAGGGGAGCTGTGGTTGTTATCAGATGATGCGAGGACAGAAGGACGGCCAGGCAATGGCTCTCAGGGCTGCCCAACATTTCAGAACCTCCTTGCACTTTTGACAGCTTCCCATACTGTGAATAACCCTTCCCCAAGTGTGAGACAAAATGAAAACAAACATCAACAACAATAAAAGTTTATCCTCAACCCCTCCAGCAGTCACAGGCAGCACTGTATTCACTCTGTCCTGTCTCCACACCCTGAGCAGAAACTCCCAGAGGCCTTGGTCTCCAGCTGGACCCCGGGGTGCTGGCAGGGGCTGGAACCTTCTATCCAGCCCTGTCAAAGGTCTTTGAGATGCCTGGTAGCCCTTTAACAAGTTCCTTTTCTGCTTAAACACACCAGAGTGAATTTTGTTCTTTGCAATTAAGAACCTAACTACTAATTTGTGGAACAAATACACAATTGCCCTTTGCAAGTTGCAGGGATTTTTATTGAAGAGTTGACAAGAGCACTGTGAACTGTCTTTGCTAAATCAGCAGGGAAGTAGAAATCCAAAACCCACAAGCAAACAAGAGCTTATCCCACATCTTCTCAAAAGTTGGATACAAACCTCCCTATCACAAAAGAGCCACATGTTCCCCCTGTGACGACTTTATCTGGCAACCTGAAATCAACACCCTTTCTTGAGACTATCAAGTCATAAGAAAGTATTGAAATCCTGAGAGAACACGTGAAGCTGCTACTTCAGGAAAGAAAGAAACGGGGAAGGTTATCAGGCAGTGGTAAGGGCCCACCTGAAATTCTGACATCTTTCATCCACCCAAATCTCTTCTGGAGTAAGAAATGTGATTACATTCATACTATATATAATCCCTTCTTTACTTTGACAAATCCAGTAAAATGCCTCTATCCATGAAGCTTCAGCTGGGTATCCGATTTGTGCATTGGCACCAGGAAGGGTGGACGGTGACAACCAGGCTCTCAAACACTCTGCACCATGTCTGGAGGCTGTGAGTGCAGACTCTAGGATTCGGCTCCCTGGATGTGCCCATGAGATGCACCACGGTGTATGGCTGTTTTAGTCATCAGCCCCGGGGACACAGCAAGGTTCCTCTCAGCCCTGTGGATGGGGTCTCTGCTCCCACACACACCAAAGCCCAGGAAAGCCTACGGAAAGCTCTCTGAAAAGCTATGTCCCGCAGGTGTTTGGGTTCATGCACAGGTGCACACATGTGCACGTGACGGCAGCACAGATGGGCCTGAGCACACCTGATCTAACAGCAGAGGCGCTGTGGCCACAGCTTTCCTGCGTGGACCTCGCCTCACCACCTCTCAGGGCTTCCTGAGATTTCCAACGCTCACTCACCATGTTCTCATTACAGCTCAAGAACAAACAACACTTATGGGAAGTTTATAAACACACCTCCACATGCAGCCCAAGAGGTTTCCGCAGCTTTGTGTGGGCATGACACTGGATATTCACCCTCCTGAAGTCCCAGAGGCCGGCAGCCCAACAGGGGCTGTGTCTTTCATCCCCTCTGTCTCCCAACCCCAGGCAGAGCACCCAGCCCCCGCAGGCAGCAGGCTAGAGATGCTGTACACACAGCAAGGAGGGAGCAGGCAGATGGCACAGTACCTGAGCAGTCCCCATGGTGGCTGAGCAGAGGTGTTCACCAGCAGCTGCGGGAACCCACACACGCTACGGCCGAGCGTCAGGTGGCGGGAACTCCTAGGATAAGGAATGGATAGAAATGGGGAAAATATGATAAAAAGGGTAAACAACCTTCCCACAGGAAAAAATATATGGAGAAAAGTGAGACTACGCAATAATCAAACCAACTGGGAAAGGTGATTATTAAGCAGGCACAAAGACAAGCTGCGAGTAAAACGTAAGGTCTGGCATTTTAAATAAGGCCACGGAAGTGGACACAGCACCTACAAAAAATATCAGGAAAAATATTGTTTTAATATTAGGACGCAGCACATTAGGAAAAATATTATTTTAATTCTACAGCAGGGTCTGAAACGATAATAAATAGGTGGAACAATTTCAAAATGTTACGCTAAAGAAATGAAACCATAGTTTTAAACAAGGAGTTTTGCTTCCTTATAAAAGCAGTGTTTGTGAACTTAGAACTTAGACTCCCTCTGCACAGAATCCAGCAGATTCTAAGAAATGCAAGAGCATTACCAAGGAATGTCAATAATTAATCATTTTCTCTCCAGGAAAAAAAGTGCTACAGACCTAGATAGAATTGAGTGTAGTTTTTTTAAAGAGTAAGGTGCTGAAATATAAATTTAGATAAATTATAAAATTCTCTGCTCATTTTTGTCATTGCATACTAATACATGAAATTATTGTTATCTTCCAAAACTGAATCAGATGAGATAGGAACATTAGTTTTTTTGAGGAGACGTTTATAAAGCCGCACTGAAGAAATACTCCTTTCTTTATCCTACCTCAGCTGGTACAATCACCAATCAGTTGCTTTCCTATATATGCTCTATGTGGCCCTCACAAACTACGATCATGTTATACTGATTTTCTGGAAGGCCAGGAGTGGTGTATATTGTATAGCATCTGCTGAAAATTTTTTGTCACCAAAATCTCCAACCAAGCCTCAGTTTGATGACAGGTCACTATATGCCATGTAATTATTAATACTTTCAAATGTACAGTCCTAATAAGGTAAGAAAATGGGCTGCTTTTATCAAGCATATTGGGAAATATTCATTATAAAATAATGTACAAACTGAAAATCAACCCTTGGTTTCTTGGAACCAGTTAGCGGACATCTCCTGTACTCATGAATCAGAATTGCACATTCACTCCCAGAACTGCCACTGCTCTTCAATAAGCTTCATCCACTCCCTATATCAACATTTCTCCATACAGTACGTACTGAACTACTTAATCTTTTTTCCCTTGCATCGAAGAGTCACAATTAACCCTAGAAATCCCTTATTGCTGGGCATTTGGGCTATTTCCAGTTGCTAAGAATTCTGCCTACGTTTCTATATGCATGCTTCTTAGGGAGTTTATGCAGAAGAGAGTTCTAGAAGTAGAATTACTGAGTCAAAGGATATGCATATTATTAGCCCAAAATGCTGCCAAAACATCAGTCTCAATTTATATTGCACTTATGATCAACATTTTTGTTTTTGCCTCTGGTGGAAAAAAAAGTTTCTCACTGTTTTCATGGAGTTTGGGGCTCTTTTAATATGGTTATTGAGCAAATGGAGTTCTGTGTAAACTGTTCTTTAGTTTTTTCTTTAGGGGAATAAATGTTTGATTACTTTCTAAGTCCTCTTTATATATGTCAGACTGTTTATTCTATCGGGTGTAGATGTTTTCTTTGAGTTTGTCAATTTCTGTCAACTTCATTAATGGTCTTTCAACAGTTTAAAGAGGTTTAATATTTATATGTCCAAATCTATCAATTCCTTCCTTAATAGTTTCAGTGATTAAAAAGATCTTCCCACCTCTACAATTGAAAAAGTATATTGTATTAAGTTGCCTTTTAGAACTTCTATAACTAATTTTTTTTCTTTAATGTCTCACTCTGTGACCCCAGATAGAGTGCAGTGGCATCATCACAGCTCACTGCAAATTCAAACTCCTGGGCTCAAGCAATACTCCTGCCTCAGCCTCCCAAGCAGCTGGGATGACAGGCATGTGCTACCATGCCTGACCAATTTTTTTCCTATTTTTAGTAGAGACAGGGTTTCGCTCTTGCTCAGGCTGGTCTCCAACTCCTGAGCTCAGGTGATCCTCCCACCTTGGCTTCTTAGAGTGCTGGGATTACAGGCCACCTGTAATCCCTTCTGTAACTATTTTTAATGATTAAATATTTAATGTGTTTGATAACTTTTTGAGTTTTGAGGTGGGAATTAATTTGGGTTTTTTCCTCCAAAGGATAATAAATTATCCCAACAAATCTACTACATAATCCACATTTTCCTACCTTGGAGATGCCATCCATATAAAATATCTACATACTGATTTGTCTCCTGTAACCTTAGTGTGTTTCTCCCAGATGACTAGAGATTCCACAAGTCAGATTTTCCTTAATACTCTGTGTTGAACAATCTTGTGAGTTTATTCTTGTAGGTTAATTTTATTACCCCTTAATCAACTCCCTGTTCCCAAGTTCACTGCCCCTCCAGACAGGAAAAGATTCTGATGGAAATCATGTGATTCATACACACACACACACACACACACACACACACACTCCACACAGGAAGCAACATGTTCTCACACTGCATTTGCCACGTGAGTGCCTGTCCTTAACACAAGCTCAGTAATGTCTCACATCCCTTCTAGCTGTTTTACAGTTGTTTTTGCTATAAACCTTACACATTCCTGTTTCACTCCAGGGTATTTTGTGAAGTTTGCTGTTTCTGAGAATGGGATCTGTTGTTTCATTGCTTTATCATATGTAATGCAGTTACTTATTTTTATCTATTGCTCTTGCATTTCTTCTGCATTCTCAATGTTACTAATTATCTAATAGATTGTGTATGGTCTCTGCCATTTTCCACTGAAAATAAATCTATTGATTCTTTCCCAAGGTAATATAGTAACTCGCATCACATCAGTGGTCCTCAATTTGAGGTGAGATCTTATGTTTTGAGAATAAGAGATTCTCTAACAAAGTTTTTAGACACATAAACATGTATTCAAAAGAACTATTAAGTTTAATCAATACATTTTAAATAGGAATTTTACCAGAAGTGTGTGAGCGTAAGCACAATTGCACCTAGAATTCACAACAGTGCTACGGTTTTTCCTGCACTCCGAAGCTGAGTGTCACAATTTTGGTCAGATGCTTCTACCCCATTTAAAAACTCAGTTCACATCTGCCTCCTGAAGGCTAATTTGTTGTCCCCACCCTGATCCATGAAATCTCGGCGCACCAAGTGCAAGGATCTGTAGCGGATTTAATTCCATCTGTTTCTATCTGATTAGTTTATGACATAGTACTCTGTAACTATAGATTTAATTGAAATGTCATCAGCATCTCATTATTAGCAAGAGATCCCTCTCCAGGCTACCTTCCGTAATGACACTAGGTCTTCTCCTCCCATGCCCAGAGCAGCGCCCTTTCCGCAGTGCTCGTTCCTCTGAACGCCAAGCCCACGGCTATGGGAAGGGTGGAGCAGGCATGGGTGAGGCAGGCAAGAAGACGTGCTCCTGCAGACACGTCGCAAACTCCAGTTGTCTCCACCGTCCCTCACAGGCATCGATGTTCCGGGGACACGCCAGGGGACAAGTACGCACACCACCTTGTGCACAGGGTATGGGTCTAGAGGCTTCATCTCCAGGCGTACTGCAGGCTCCAGCCACAGCGTCGACTCCCCCTGCAGCCCCCAGGATGGTGTTAGCCCATCCCTGCAGCAAATCTACCTCGCTCAGTGGAGACACAGAATCTACGCCATACTGCAGGTTCCATTTCTCTGGAGAACCTTGGCAAGTACAGATTTGGGGAGAAGTCTGGAGGTGTTACCACCGATGTCCTTCCAGAACTCTGCCTAGAACCTCACCTTCTGGTGGAAAGGGACAAAGAAGCCAACTCAGGCTCACTTTACGTGAATGCAAAGTCCAGAGTGGGTTTGGTCCCATGGCCCAGAGATGCCTCCACCTGTTTGTTACTTCCTCTTCCTTTCCTGTCCTGTGGTGGCCGCTTCACCTGAAAGCTGGTCACACCTCAAGATGGCAGGAGGGCTGGCGGGAGGGCTGGCAGGGGCTCCTAGAGACTTGTTGCTCACTTACAAGGAGAGAGTGCGGCTCATGTCCCCAGCAGCTGCCTTAGAGGAGAGAGGAAACCTCTTCCCCAGTTGCAAAGGCTGGAATCAGGCCACATGCCCCAAGAAAACCACAGCCCAATGGCAGACCCAGCTTTGTCCAAAGCACCTGGGCATGTAGTGACAGGCTGGGGTGCCCACCTGTTCCCACCAGGAAGGCAGAGGTGAAATCTAACCACAGCGTCCTCTCTGCAGTAGCGGTCCCAGCTTACCCTCAAGGCCATCTGCTGCGTGAAACTCTTATCTTTCCAACAGGTGTTAAGCTGGAGACCCATCCACAGCTACCTCTAGATATCAACACTGACAAAAGATCATCTAATCAAGTTGTGCAATTACATGTAAATGTGCCCATAAATACCATAACTGTGTCACTAAAGACCAGAACTGTCTCAAACAGGAATTGAGTTATGGCAAGTGCTGGCACAGTGAAAACGACTGTACAACAATATGCAGATGCTGACTCACAAGTCACTGGGAACCGTTTCTCTTCTTCCTCTGTGCTCAGTTTTAAAAGCCATTAATAAAAACTTGGACAACAAAACTCAATTATTCCTTTTTAGAGTTGATTATCATGCTGAAAATAGCAATAAAATTTAGTAAACAAAGGTTAGGAAAATCCTTGTGTTTGCACAAAGTGCAACACAGCACAGCTCACCAGCAAAGATTACAGAAAAATAATCTGCAGTGTAACAAAGTTTCATTTATAGGATGTACTTCAAAACAATAGGCGGCAAGGAGCTTTGTGTGAAATCCAATTATCAGAGTATTAGGCATTTACAGCTTCGTATTCACAATTGTTTAACATCATTGTATTGTCATTAGCATAAGATGTGTAACAGTGTGTGCCAGATAAACTACTCTGTGTTTTGCTTAATATTTTAATCAATGGCTTAAAAGATAATAAATAGCATCTTAGTACAAAATGCATTTTGAACAATATTACATTGTCAACTATTGCCAGAATTAGTAAAATCAGAGGAATCAAAAGACAGGAAGGCTGCAGAGATGAGACACAGGACAGTGAACAGCATCAGTGTCACGGCAGGAAGTCCACACGTTCCACAGATAGGGGAAAGCGAGGTGGGACCACTGCCTTGCGCTGTTGTGCAGATCAGGAACAGAATCAGAAAGGGTTTGATTGCAAAGAGCTCAGATGCCAAGGTGCTGACTGACGGGTCCCCACAAGAGGAAGTTTTAGCGGATTGTCACCTAAAGGGTCAGTCCCAGAACTGAGGCTGAGACGCCAGCCCAGGGCTCCTCTGGGATACCCCAGACCAAAGACAAACCATTCTCTTTGGCAAGTCGGATGGACGACAGAACAGTGCATCCACAACAAGTTCTGTTACAGAGAACAAACGGTGACAGACAAGGAAACACAGACAACTACTCCCGCGGCATCTAGAGAATTAGGAACTTCTCTTTCCCTACAAGACCAGCGCAGGTGAAATAGTCAAGACAGTTGCCACAAACTGTTGGGGACTAAGACCCTCCACATCCCAATGACTTGTCCTACACATGGGGCGAGGCCCGGAAAATAGCCTAAGACGAAAATAGCACCCAGCCCTCCAGCTATAGTTCTGAGAAGAATGCATTCCATGACGTGCTTGCTCCAGGGCATGCTACCTGCAATTGTTCCCGACCCCCTGCCAGGTTGAGGTTGAGTGATCAATCACAAACAGCTTCCGATGCCAATAAGACGCTGATTGGGGCTGATTGGCCCACACCCAAGCCTCATCATCCGCCCACTCTATTTTTCTGTTTCTACTTCCTTGTTTCTGTATATAAAACCTACTAAAAATCCAAGTAAAGTAGACCTTGACAACCCTTTGCTTGGTCTCGTTCCTTTCTCTCGCCCATCTCTTTCAGGCAAGGTCCCCCTTGACCCCCACGAGTAACAGAAGGTCCTGCGGGCCGGGACAACAAACCAAGGAGATATGTCCACACCAAAAAGTCACAGTTCTGTACTGATACCAGCCAAGTAGACTCATGTTTGTAGGCAGATTCTAGCTTTTGACAAAAAGAAGACATTTAACCTGTAATTCTACACTTTTTCCCCAGACTCATGTTTGTAGGCAGATTTTAGCTTTTGACAAAAAGGAGACATTTCACCTGTAATTCTACACTTTTTCCCCAACACCGCACTGTCAAGTCACCACCGTAAACCAGACAGGATCCTGCTGTGAAAAGGGAGCCTGGAAGTTCCCTGACCCTCGAGATGCACAAACCACCTATGGGCACCCAGTCCTCTTCCGAGTGCCACCACAGCCCACAGCAGGGCCAGTGAGGCTGAGACACATGAGTGCAATACCACAGGAATTAGCAGAATCGAGCAGGAATCTCAGAGTGTCTGCCTCAGAGCTGCACCAGCTATTCACTTGTCACAGCTGAACTCTCAGCTCCTGTCCCTGTGTTCCCTTCTCTCCCCCTCCCTTCCTCACCCCATGTCAATGCTGGCATTTCATTCTGAAAATAGCTTTAAGATCAAAGGGAGAAGAGGGAACGTAGAAAAGGAAAGAGCTATGGAGCTGGAAAACCACCTGTGGGGTTACAGGGACGGCAGCCACGGATCTTGCAGGAACACAGTGTCTAGAGCTGCATCCCTCAGCTTCCAATAAGCATAAAGCAAGAGAGAGAGAGAGAGAACCCACAAATGAGACTGGATGTCCCCTCACATCAGACCAGAGAAGAATTAGAGTTGAGGGAGAGAACATCTCTGTGCTCCCAGCCCACTGGAGAAACCCACACAGGACCAGTTAAAACCCTAAATGTGAGAAGCGGATGGCAGGGCCTGACCTCTGCGGGAGCTTCTGGAGTCTCGGAGTAAAGAACGGGTTGAGATTTTTGTCGGAGGCAGGCGAGGGAGGGTCAGAGCACGTGCATGCGTTATGAATCCATGCTCCATCCCAGGTTGTCTGTGGTCATCCCGTCCAACCACACCGTTATGGTGTCTGAGAATCTCTCTGTCCGTCTGGTCATGATGTCATCATGATAATTTAACACTTGTTCATTTATATGCTGTTCTCTACTTTATATGACCTCTCTCACACGAAGAGTGATGTCATGATTTAACATTGTGCTTGAGTTGCAAAGTCGCTGCCTCACTTAACAACATCACGGAAAGCGAAGCTGCTTCATCAATCATGACTTCTCTGAACAGCATTAAAAGTTCCTAAGAGAACGAAAACAGAGCTCTAGCTTGCCAACTGAGCTTCCAGAATTTGAGTGTGGTCCATAGCAAATGAGGAAACAGTCAGAACATGTGCACAAGGACACCCACTGTCCTTGGTGTGGAATGTGAGTCTGGCCCAGTCTGGCCCCAGTCTTCTGTGGGGACCCTCCTCTCAACCCTTCAAGGGCTTTGCCAGCCCCAGGAGTGGGCACATGATCCAGATGGACATCTAGCATGGCCCACCCAACCAGTGCAGAGCTGTGCACACTGCCCACTGACCAAAGACAGTTGCTGGCACGGCTTTTGCTGGAGCGACTAGGAGGGGCTGTGAGGGTGGTGGAGGCCACACCACCCATGAGGTAGACGCCACAGCAGCCCAGCCCCCGCTGCTGATCCCAGGACACCCCTTCAATCTGCGAGGCAGAGTGAGCTGTGCCTCTGGCAGCCACATCGACCCTGACCAGTCGAGTGATGAATCCACTGTGGAAACCACTGCCTGGTGGCATCTCTGGGCTCTAAGGTCACACCTCATGCCCAGCTCTCCAGACTGTCATGGCAAACACTGCATGTAAAGGAAATCAGCAAAATTTCTATCTTTTTCTTCCTCAAAATGGAAAGGCTAGAAGGGAAACCCCAGCAGGAACTAACAGACCAAGTTGAAATTCTGAATGCGGTTTCCCTTGAAATATGACGTATGAGTGTTGGTCACGTTCCCAGCCTGGGTTTCATCCAAACAAGATTAACCCTCCAAGGTATACAGGACATTGGAAACCACAGCTTAAAAATCACAGCAGACAGTTCTAGAACCTTAGAGATACAGGCACTTTGCGAGTTCAAGGCAACACAAAGTACATTCTGAAACACAACCCAGCTCCAAGCAGGGAGCCGCCAGAGCTGGGGTTCGGGTCAGACTTTCGGAAGGATCCTCAGAGAGGTGAGAGACAAGGTACCCTGGGAAGGATGCCCCAAGACTCCCAGGCAGCTCCACCTGGGATCGGGGAGCTTCCTCAGAACCAAAAGCTCCCAGAAGAGACAGAGAACTGAGAGGGACAACAAGGTGGGGCTGGAGCCGCCCTTGCCCAAATCTCCACTCCGGACATCCCCTTGAGGAAATCCCTATGGTTCTGGACGCTACAAGAGGAAAGAAACCACCCCAGAGGATAATAGTTTGCTAAAGGGGCACATGGTTCCCACAAAGCGCTCAGGTGAGTGTTGGGCCCTTGGGAAAGGGAAGATGAGTTCATATAAATCAGTGCAGGACAACCCGCCCCTTTCTGGAGGACTTAAGCTCAACTAGAGGGAAAAATTATTTAAACACTTCAAATATCATGGGGGGGGGAGGAATAGTTAACTTGTTTTTCAAATGTTCTTAGGTTAGAATTTTCCTGGTAAAAGTTCAGGCAGCTGAGCCAGTGCTACTTTTTCCAAATGGCACAAACTGGAAATCACAGACAGCAGAAAGAACGAACTGTGACAGGGCTGCTAGTAACAGGCAGGAACAGGGTGGCGACATCGGAGGATCCCTGGGTCTGGGATCTGCCCTGAAACAAAGCTGCATGAGCGACATGGAGCAGGTGCTCTCAGCTGGACAAGCCCTGGGGCGTGAACGTCTGGGTGGCCCTGAAGACTCGAGAGGCCCTCTCTGCTCACCGCTCTCTGAACTTATGTAAGAGTCTAAGACCTGGATGTAAAACATCTGAGAAGATGAAGTGAAACCACCCTCCTTAAAAATCCCAGAATCACTGAACCAAAACAGACTTCAAGGAACTATCTAGAATAGCTCTGGCTCCCGGGAGTATAGTAATCTATTATTAAACAAATACATGATTCTGATTTTTAAAGATCTCTACAACAAAAATTCTATGAAGGTCATCTGTAGAAGGTTCTAGTGTTTAATCACCTATAATGCGAGATGCTTTTTCTTATTCTGAGCCAACACCCTTTGCTGCCATTTAAATCCGAGATACACACCCCACTGACCTAGTAGGAAAATGGCAACTTAAAAGTCATGTTGAGTGATAGGCTGAACATATTTAATGGATACCTCTTCTTATCCATAATTTGACTGCAAATTTCTCTTGAAAGCCCTAAGCACTAGAATCATATTTCCTCTCTGGTGTTAGCAAAACATTAATTTCTAATTGATAGCTCAGTGCAAATGTGTTCATTCATTATGCTCGTAATTTTAGCATAAGAATTTCAAAGTGGGAACATGAAGTTCAAGGTACAGTATGTTTTTCTGCCTAAAACAGAAAAATAGTCACTTTGACCCAAGCACTTCCACTTTCTGGGGATGGCTGGAGCATTGAAACAGCTCCTGACACTTAGCCCAAGGACAGGAGGATGTGGGAAGGAACCAGACCACCCTCCCTGGCCCTGAGGATGGCCAGCCAAGTGGACACTTGCTCAGTGACTGCAGCAGAGCTCACCACACCATGCAAGGGGAATGTGGGTCCCACAGGGTTTCTCAGCCCAGGAGGCTGAAGGTACCATCCTCAGTAACACAGACATCCCAGCAGCTAAAGCAGCCAATGGTCTCAGGGAGGACTGTGTATGTCTCAACTCCCAGAAGTTAAATGATCTATTGTGAACATCATTTTTAATAGAAATGAGTTGAAAATCACATTGCTGGACAGCGAGAAGACAGTGGTCTGACAACAGCTGTTTGCTGAGAGAACCTGCTTCACAACAGAAGCTGTTTCATAAGCCCATTCAGATGCCCCACCACTCAGCAAGCCATGACAGCCACTCAACAAGCCATGCTGGCCAGGCCACCCACTCAGCAAACCAAGCCAGTCAGGCCACCCCTCTGGAAAGGCTCAGTGCCAAGGTGAAATCCAAGGCAGCACGGCCTTTCAGCATTTTGTGACCACTAACACTCACTCTCTATAATTTCATGTATGCGTATTCTGAGCATTTATATTCCGTTCTAATGATGGTAAGAGTTTGCAGCCTGCAGATTTTCATGTATGTCTAGGGCCCCTGGGTCTTATAAAAACCCAATCTTCCTCAATTTCTGCTTACAAAGGAGATCATATATATCTAGAAGTCAAGATTATAAGATCTGTTACTATATTCTTCGAATTATTTCCTCATGGAGATGCCCTTTTCTTACTTTCTTAAGCCGCTTCATTAATTCAATAAGGTTACAGTAGTAATAATTACTGCTTTGTGCTATGGGCCAGAACTATGCATATTAATAACCAAACACGTGGCCAGAATCCTGTGAAGAGGTACACAGCACTCCGCCGTGATAATTTACATGGGTGGCATGGCACTCAGACAAACAGGAAAGTACAAGACAATGACATGTCTGGAGAAGGGTCCAGTACCCAAAGGATTCGTGAAAGTCATACATCTTGATCAAGATACTGAAAGGATGTCAGGCTCTAGACAG